AAAAAAAAAAAAAAAGTGGTGGCTTTATTTATTTATCTTGAAAATCGAACTTAAAATTTTGACCGATTTATATAAATTTGGCAGCATTAAAAGGGAGATGTGGGGAAAATAAAACAGTAGAGAGAGCAGAAGTTTTGAGTGAGATATTGCAGTGGAGAAGTTTGCGTGTTGTGCGCGAGTTTACTTTATTTTACTTTACTGCTACCTATCAATACCCCTACTCCCCAATCTTCACTTCACTACTCATTCATTGGCACTGGAGCTATTAAATTCAACTAGCAGTTCGTGAGTTATGCGACTCGTTAAGGCTCGAATTCGACTCAATTCGTTTGATAAATAAACTGAACTCGAGCTCATTTAAAGTTCGCCCAGCTCGGGTTGGATTGATAAAGCTAGTTAAGATTCGAAAGATAATTTTATGTATTTTATTATAGTTCAACTCTATTTTGGCTTGTTAATATTGATAAACGAGTCTAGCTCGAGCTCGGTTATAAGCTTGTTAAGGGCTCGAGCTCGGCTCGACTCATTTGATAAACAAGACAAACTCGAGCTCATATAAAGCTTGTTCAGTTAACCAGTCGAGCTCGACTCGGCTTGATAAAGCTCGAAAAGATGATTTTTATGTATTTTTTTGTAGTTTGACTCGATTTTGACTCGTTAGGGCTCTAACTCGACTCGTTAATATTGATAAACGAGCCTAACTCAAGCTCAGTTACACGCTCGTTAAGTGCTCGAACTCGAGCAACATGAATTCGTGCTCGGCTCGACCCGGCTCGTTTACACAGTTGGCCTGGACCAATATATTTAATGACTTTCAATTTTCAAATCCCATCCCACATGTTATAACTTAATCAAATTAACGGGCTCTCTCATTTAAAAGCCCCATCCCAGATATTATAACTCGATAAAATAAACGGGCTTTCTCAAGGAATTGACGGTAGCCCAGCCCAATATAACTATGGAACTTCAAGCCCAATCAAATTAGCCCCCAATCCCCATCTCGATCTTATCCCAATTGTCACGCACTTATTGCTTTCCCCGCCACGTCACCTCACTTTCCCTAGATCCGATCGGACGGCCACCATCTCATCTCCATCTGGATACCATCCATAAATATCGGCGCTGGCTCTTGAAATGCGCACTCCTCACTGAAGCACTCAGCTCAAACTTAGCTGCCCTTTGCTAACTTGCGCGTGCCCCCCAATGGGTTTACTCGACCAGCTTTGGGACGACACGGTCGCGGGCCCCCAGCCCGACACCGGCCTCGGCAAACTCCGGAAACACTCGACCTTTAGCTTCCGACCAAACTCCGGCAAGGGTACGCATTCCGGGAGACTAAAAAACGAATAGATGAATGACTATAGTCACTATACTGTCAAGTAAATTGCTACGATTAGTTTAACTGAACTGAAATTTTCCGATTTTGTCGAGTTTTTACGGATGAATCAATCTAAATGCTAGATTTATTATTTACGGGCACGAACGATCATTAGAGTTTTCTGAATAGTCGCCTGGGTTATAACGGGTATTGAATGGGTGTTTTGAAATCTGGTTTTGCAGAATCAGAGGTTATGAACGGTGGAAGATCCATCGGAGAGGAAGCCGGCGGAGACGCGGTGAGGGTGACGAGAAGCATAATGATCGTGAAGCCGCCGCAGGCCGATCAGAAGGACTCGCCGCCTGTTTCTCCGGCGGGCTCAACTCCACCGGTATCCCCCTTTGCCGGTAAGCTGTTAATTCAGAGCCCGATGTGTAAAATATTGCATTAGCTGTTCATAGATCATAGTTAGTTGGGATTTTCATAGGGTTTTCAGGTACATGGCGGCTCCCTCTAGATGATTCCTCTGGATCTGGACAGGGGCAGTCTTGTCTTTTCAGAGGAGTTCTGGGGGTAATTTAGTCATTAATTATATTGATGGATAATTCAAAGGCAAATGATATTTCTGGCTGCTTCTTGCATATGGGTGATTGGTGGGGTCTAAGATGATGACATATGTTTGAATTTTTAACAGAACATCCACTTCATTATTGCCTTAAAAATTATTATGTCCCTTTTGGAGATAACTTTTCTTAGATATACAAATGTGGTGTCTGATCAAGATTTGAACCTAATTGTTTTCATAGTTGTGAAAGAGAGATGTCTTTGATAAACCAAACTTCATACATTGAAACAAGAGTAATGCTCACCTACGGTGGACACATGTTAATATGCCTTCCGTTTATGTGGCATGCACACATTGGTGGTGTATTTTTTTGAACATATTAACATCACCAATGTTTGAATGACACATAAGCGGTGGGCATATTAACATGTGGCCACCGTGGGTAGGTGAGCATTATTCATTGAAACAATTTGCAAATTTAGTTGTTTTTTTCATTGTTTGTGAAAGAGATGGTCTTTGATAAACCGTGGTTTATATTCGTTGGCCATATTACGTCAGGGTTCGATTCATGTGCGTAATAAAGGCGAGAATGAAATAATACATAGCATAAGATTTTGATGTTCGCTTTAGTTTTGTTAACATGTTCTCGCGTGATGATGCTTAATTAGGTGCCGGAGGGAAGGAAGCTTTCCGGTTCCGTAGGAGATCGGCATCGTTTGCGTACGAGAAGGCTAATGGAGTGGGACCCAGAAGCCCTCCTCCTCCTTACGACCTTTGAGATCTGAGTACGCGTGACGATCTTTTTCTTGGTGCGGCAATTGGAGGAAGATCGGTTTGTAGGATTTTCTGCTTAATTTCTTGCTCGATGGCTTGAGTTTCTTTGCTAGTGTGTGTGTGCTCTTAGCCCTGTAAATATGTTGGGAATGTAATTGTCATGTTTGTATCCATAATGTCTGTGAAGTATTGAAGCTGGTTATTAATCCAAACTTTCTAAAGTGTGTCGTCACTTTGTGTATATTGCCCCTCTCTCTCACACACACACACACATGAACGAGTGCATTGTCTTGAGCATTGACTCATATCTCCATATCTAATCTGTTACAAATGGATATTATTTTGCTTGAGAGAAAAATATTATTGCAGGTGTATTTAAAGATTACAATAGAGAAAAGAAAACTAAGGAAACTAATTAACTACTTTCCTAAATAAATGAATGGATAAGTATGAATGATATTATCCTCTATCAACCTCCCTCAAGCGAGACGTCGGAGAATTGTCAACTCGAAGCTTGCGCCGAAAAAATTCAAACAGCTGACGAGGGAGGCTCTTTGTGAATATATCCGCAATTTGGAGATGAGATGCGACATAATGCGTGTGGATTTTACCAGCTTGAACGAGCTCACGAACAAAGTGATAATCGATGTCGATATGTTTTGCCCGTTTGTGAGCCACTGGGTTTTGACTCAGAAAAATTGCACTATTGTTGTTGCAAAAAAGTTGCGGAGATCCAGGAAGAGGAACATGAAGCTCACGGAGAAGAGAGGTCAGCCAAACAACTTCAGCTGCCGTATTTGCAAGCGCCCGATATTCAGATTCACAACTCGAACGAGCTACGGTTGTTTGCTTCTTTGCGCTCCAAGAAATCAAATTTCCAGCAAGAAAAATTGCATAACCGTAAGTAGATCGGCGAGTCTCTGGACACCGAGCCCAGTCGGCATCGGAGTAGACTACTAAAGCTGAAGAGGATCCACGAGAGAAAGAGAGGCCGTGAGTAAGAGTGCCTTTGACATAACGTAAGATCTGTTTGACAGCTTGAAAGTGATCATCAGTTGGAGCTTGCAAAAATTGACTAACCATATTAACATCAAAGGAAAGATCCGGTCGGGTTATTGTTAAATATTGCAAGGCACCGACAAGAGAACGATACTGAGTAATGTCAGAAAATGGAGAACTCCTAGTGGTGAGGACATGACCGACAGCCAATGGAGTGGTAACCGGCTTAGAATCAAGGAGTCCAGACCGTGTAAGAATGTCGGTGGCATATTTAGTTTGACTTAAGAAGAGACCGGAGTCTGTGTACTCAACTTCAAGTCCCAGAAAATAACTTAACTGACCCATATCTTTGATTGCAAATTCAGAGTTGAAGCCGAGTTATGAACCGGGAAATAAAAGTGGAATCATTCCCTGTTAAAATGATATCGTCGACATAGATTAGAAGATAGAGCAAGACCGAGACTCGTGTATATAAATATAGGGAAGTGTCAGCTTTACTCCAAGAAAATCCCAAACTGGTAAGAAAGGCATTGAGCCGTTGGAACCAAGCACGCGGTGCTTGTTTTAAGCCGTAAAGTGCTTTCTTAAGTCGGCAGACATGTTGTGGGAGAGCAGGATCGACGAAACCCGGAGGTTGTTCCATGTAGTTGAGAACCCCATTTAGAAATGCATTTTTAACATCAAGTTGATGGAGTGGCCAACTATGATGAACAGCAAGAGCGAGTACCACACGGACCATTGCAGCTTTGACAACGGGACTAAATGTATGTGAGAAATCAGTTCCAGGGATTTGAGTGAAGCCTTTAGCAACCAAGCGAGCTTTGTGACGATCTATGCTGCCATCAGACAAATATTTTGTGCGAAAAACCCATTTAGATCCAACAATATGGACACCATGCGGTCGAGGAACGAGATCCCATGTCTCATTTTTGCGCAACGCAACCATTTTCTCATCCATCGCTGTGAGCCAATGAGAGTGACGTGGAGCAGATTTGTAACCACGAGGATCAGAGTTAGCGAGAAGAGCTTGGTGAAGAGAGGTCAAGGCAGAATCGGCAATGTAACGAGGCTTAAAAACCCCAACTTTGGAACGAGTGATCATGCGATGACCGACGGATGTTGATGGCGTAGGAGGTGACGTTTGCACTGGTGGGATGGAAGTTCAGACCGTGGTGGTGAAGGAGGTGCAGGTGGCGATGATGAAGACCCAGGCAGCGGCGATGATGGGCAAAAACGACATGGAGGTTGTGGTGGCACAACAACTGGAGGAGTAGGCATGGGAGCACTTTGGGAGGTAGTAGATGGTTCTAAGAAAATAGAGACATCCAGCTGAGAAGTCCGAGAAGATGAAACGTTACCGGCATAGGGAAAAACAAGTTCATCAAATTTTGCATGTCGTGTGATATAGATGCGAGAAGTAACTGGATCAAGGCAACGAAAACCTTTGTGAGTTGAGGAGTATCCCACAAAAATACAAGAACGGCTGCGATGAGAAAACTTGTTAGCTGCATAATCACGGAGGCAAGGATAAACACGACAACCAAAAGGATAAAAATTGTCGTAGTTGGGTGAAACACCGAAAAGAGCTTCACACGGAGAAAGACCATGTAAAACCGTAGAGGGAAGTCGATTAATTGTATAAACTGCAGTGCTAAAGGCTTCGACCCACATGGATAACGGTAAGTGAGAGTGAAATAGCATGGCTAGACCAGTCTCGGTAATATGTCGATGTTTTCGCTCAGCACGCCCATTTTGAGGAGGCGTATATGGACATGACATAAGATGTTGAATGCCCTTCATACGAAAGAAATCCCGAACTAGTTTGTTTGTAAATTCAGTTCCACCGTCACTTTGAAATTTCTTTATCGTGCATTGAAACTGATTTTCAACTAAGGCCGCAAATTGACGCAAGTTGACAAAGAAATCAGATTTGTGAACAAGTGGATAGAACCATGCAAACCGAGTACAATCATCAATAAAGACCACATAATATCGAAATTTAAGGGAAGAGAAAACGGGAGTAGGTCCCCACAAATCACAGTGAATGAGATCCAAAACGTGGGATGCCCGTTTTTCATTATATTGAAAAGGCAAACGTACACTTTTAGCCAACTGACAAGAGTCACATAACAAATGTTTCGGCAAGCATGAAGTAACAGATAAATGTCCAACTTATTTAATAATGAAATAGAATCAAACGAAACATGACCAAGTCTGTAATGCCATAATTCAAAGGAAGCACGTAAATAATTATTTTTCAAATCAGCCAGCAAAGCTGGACGAACATGCTCCAGAACATAAAGACCTTTTTCCGTCGACCTGTTGCCAGTACTTCTTTGGTGTGCCGATGCTGAATAACAAAGGTAAGATTAGAAAAATACCTTCAACGGGGAAATCAGATGTAAGCTTGCTGATAGATAACAAGTTTTTGGTGAGATCAGGGACGACCAAAACGTCTAATAATTGAAAAGAATCCGAAAGACGAGAGCAACCAATACGAGATATTGAAAGATGAGCACCATTACCTACAACCACACGATCCATGCCAGAATAAGGTTGAGAGGAATCGAGATTTTCAGAAGTCGGAGTCATATGTGCCGATGCGCCGGTATCAAGAAACCAATCAGACCATTCAGATTTAGATAAGGAACAACCTGCTGAAAATGCTTCTGCTAAGTTGGCGGCGATAGAGGAATGAGGCGGTTGAGTATAGCGCTCCGGACAAGAAGTTGCATAATGACCATCCACACGGCAAATTTGGCAGCGTGGGGGGCAGCGATTCGAATGTCGCCCACATCCACGACCGCGAGAACCATTTCCACGACCACATAAGGGAGTGGAAAAATGACCAGACGGTTTGTGTTGGCTGTAGAAGGCGACATTTGATGCACCGGAGGAAGCAAGAGATTCTTGAAAGAGAGCAAAGCTTTCTGCTTTGGAGAGAAGGTCGCGGAAGGTAGGGAGGGGCGTGAGAGCCATCTGCGCAGCTGAGAAGCTTGAAAAATCAGAGCCGAGGCCACGTAGAAACCAATGGGCTTTATCGGTATCATCAACCGGACGACCAATGGCCGCAAGTTGATCGCATATGGATTTAAATTTGCGACCGTATTCGGAAATGGGACAATCACCTTTCTTCATGAGTTGAAGATCATCTTTTAGGCGAAGTTCGCGAGATTTGGAGCGGTGGTTGTAGGCCGCTTCCAAAGCAAGCCAAACGGTTTGCGAGGTAGAGCATCCAATGACCTCCGCCATTGATTCTTCTGTGAGTGTGAGAGAGGAGAGAAGAAGACTGAGAAGCCTCTGATTTTGAGTGTGCCACGCTTCATAAGCACGATTGGGAGCACTAATGCCAGCCGCATTTGTAACAGTCGAGGGAGGGGCTATTTTGGTGCCGCCGATATAGCCGAGCAAGTTTTGAGAAGAGAGGAGGGGAAGAATCTGATTTTTCCATAGTAGGTAATTAGAGGAAGAGAGTTTAATGGTAATCATGTGAATAAGAGTGGAGAATGATAGAGTTTCAGTATCCATGGTGGGAAGAAAGTGAAGAACGACGACAAGGGTGAAAGCGGCATAGATGAGGGTTTAGGATTGGATGGCTGATACCATGTTACAAATGGATATTATTTTACTTGAGAGAAAAATATTATTGCAGGTGTATTTAATGATTACAATGGAGAAAACTAAGGAAACTAATTAACTACTTTCCTAAATAAATGAATGAATAAGTATGAATGATATTATCCTCTATCATAATCCCTTCCCAATTAGGTCTGCTACAAGGCCCGTGATTACCTAATTATCTTTTCCCAAGATTTTGTTTTTATTTATTTTCTTATTTATTAAATTAAAATTTAATTATTCCTTTCAAAGAAGCCATGGCAAGATTGATTTTAATTTATATTATACCATAGTTATGCATCTTTCAAAAATTCTATTGATTTCACCTTTTTAAATTGGCCTCATTAAGCTAGCTGATAGATGATAAGCTAGCTGGAAAAAAAGATGCAATTAGCTTATTTGAAAAATTACTCAAAGAAGCTTATCAAATTTTTTAAAAAAACTCGTCCTACTAAACAAGGCTTATTTGAATATAGGGAGTTTATAAGCTAACCAAATAAGCTATAAGCTAACTTATTTGTTTACCAAACATAACCTTAGTAAAAATACCCTACACCTTATGACTTTTTTTCACACACAATCCATCCTAGAAGAAAATATTTCCCTCATTTCCTTTATTTTTTTCTCTCAATTATATGTTTATCATTCTTCAACGCCGTCGGCCATGCGCCGTTATTCTGCCACCGCCGGACCGACCCTTGTCAGGTCCGTGTATGTCTTTGGGTACGGTGACAAACAAGTTGAATGAGAACTATTGTTTTATTTTTGTTTATTTATTTTATACTGTTCTCGTCAAATAAGAGGGAAAATTATATACTGTTCTTGATATAATCACTTTGATATTATCAGAGGCTATCCATCTATTTAGTTAGGCTATTAATAACTTGTTTGGTTAGAATTTGATTTAAGTTTAAATTACTTTTTTACCCTCCATTTTAAATTAAATTTTCTAAATAGTCCATCAATTGAGAAAATGGAGTCTGAAAAATGAAAATGGCAATTCACATTTCTTCAACATCTGAAAGTTTCTAAATTAGTCCAACAAGTTTTGCACCTCGCAAGCCCTCGGCGGCCATCAGATCGCGCACAAGCGGGAGATAGACGCCACCAAGAGATTGCTGACGACCGCCGGCGGATTCTCCCGCCATCCGTCCGCCGCCGCCTTCGATATTGACGGGTCGAGAAAATCGCTCGATCCGAAATTAATTTCCACCAGATCTAAAGGCTTTGGTGTTGTTGCTTACGAAATTAAAAAAATAATAATGATAATAATAATAAGATGAAGAAGGGTGTTATTTACGAAATAAAATAAAAAAAAAAAGGAATAAGAAGATGAAGAAGGTAGGCTAGAGACCTGAAGAGAAGGAAGGGCGTAAAGAAAAGAAAAGAAAAAAAAAAGAAGATGATGAAGAAGGGTGTTGCTGTTTACAAAATTAAAGAAAAAAAAATGAAGAAGAAGAAAGAAGAAAGATAGAGAAGGGAAGGCATAAGGCACGAAGAAGATGAATGATTATTTTGTAAATCTAAATGAAAAATTGAGTTGGATTACACATCCCACCTAGAAGGTGGGTAAAAGGTTGATTAAATTTCGGGCCATGTGTCTTTTTCAAGGACTTTTATGTTTGAACCAAACAAAATAATAAGAACGAAATAGTATGAAATGGCTTGATATCACTCTCAATCAAGTCTACCAAACGGACCCTTAATGTATAATATATACACACGCACACACTACACTAGAATTATATATTTAGTTATTTAATGTATTATATATACACGCACACACCACCAATAGTGCTATATATATTAGTTATTTATTTTCTTTTGATGTATTATATATACATAGATTTATATTTATATATTTTATTAATTAATATTTAAAAACCATCCATCTATTTTATATGTGTAAAATCGCATTAATCAAAGACTATTTCTCATTTGTAGAGTTGGATTACACTGAGAAGTATGCATTCCTTCAAGCTGAACTTGTCATCCCTCATTCATCCATTATATCAAGGTGGGGTTTATTCTTACAAACAACTCATGTACATGTATCCTATGAATGTTTCATTGTTACTTATGTGATCTCCGTATTCAAACGCCTACAGGCCAACATTTATGTAGCCTCTTTGGCTAGACAATGACATTATGGCCGAGTACTCCCTGATTTAGTTCTACGTAAAACATATTGAAAATTCATTGTCATGCAATAATATTTCCATCGTGTAACTGTATAATGTTCGTAAGTGACATGTTTCGCCCCACAATATTTTTGGCTTACCCCTATTTTATAAAACTATTTTTTAGGAAAGACAATACACTCAGAGGTTTAACCACATGCAAGGATGCTTCTTTATGACCATATTGTGCACGTGTCTACCTCTGACACCCCACTTCTCGACTTCCTACAATATGCAGGAGCCCTGCTCCATCATTGGCTCGAAGAGTCCTGGACGAGGATGAAATGGAATCTGAGGGTGAGGCAGGACCCGAGGATGAGGATACCGAGGAGGATACCGAGGAGGACCCCACTAAGCATCCCGACGAAGAGTACCCCGAGATCCTAGTCATCTAGAGCATATCATCTAGAATGAGAATTTATGCGTAGTTACTGAATAATTATTGCCAATATTTTAAGAAATTATTTCATATTATGTTGGCCCAAAGGGAGTTTATAAGTGATGGAAATAATAAGACTATCTTTCTATTTAGTATACTATCTGCTATTTTAGTTGATTATTTTATTGCAACCGTTAGATAAATTAATCCAACAGTTTTAGTTGAATTATTACACTAAAATAGTAGATAGTATACTAAATAGAAAGATAATCTTATTTCCATCACTGGGATAAACTCCCTTTCGGGCCAAAATAATATGAATATATATTGGCGATAATATTCAGCAACTACGCATAAATGCTCATTCTAGGTGATATGCACTATATGACTAGGATCTCGGGGTACTCTTTGTCGGGATGCTCACTGGGGTCCTCCTCGGTATCCTCATCCTCGGGTCCTGCCTCACCCTTAGATTCCATTTCATCCTCGACCAGGAACTCTTCGAGCCAATGATGGAACAGGACTTCTGCATATTGTAGGAAGTCGAGAAGTGGGGTGTCGGAGGTAGACACGTGCACCATATGGTCATTAAGAAGCATCCTTGCCCGTGGTTAAACCTTCGGGTGTATTGTCTTTCCTGAAAAATAATTTTAGAAAATATAGGTAAGCCAAAAATGCTTAGTGGGGCAAAACATGTCACTTACGAACATAATACAATTACACGATGAAAATATTATTGCATGACAGTGAATTTTCAACATGTTTTACGTTGAACTAAATCCACGGAGTACTCGATCATAATGTCATTGTCTAGCCAAAGAGGCTACATAAATTTCGGCCCGCAGACATTTGAATACGGAGATCACATAAGTAACTTGAAAGTAACAATAAAACATTCATATAGACATGTACAAAAATTGTTTGTAAAAATAATCCCCACCTTGATAAATGGATGAATGATGGATGACAAGTTCGACTTGAAGGAATGCCTATTTTTTAGTGTAATCCAACTCCATAAATGTGAAATAGTCTTGGATTATTGTGATTTTATACATATAAAATAGATGGAGGATTTATAAATATTAATTAATAAAATAGATAAAATATAAATCTATGAATATATAATATAATACATCAAAAGAAACTAATAAAATAAAAAACTAATATATATATAGCACTATTGGTGGTGTGTGCGTATATATTTAATAGATTAAATATATAATTCTAGTGTGGTGTGTGCTTGTGTATATATAATACATTAAATATATATATATAATTATATTGTGGTGTGTGCACTTGTGTATATATATAGATATTGTCTAATATACATATATGTATATGTAATTATTCCGAGCTTTTATAATATCTATCGTTTCGAGAAAAAAAAAATATATGTAAGATGATGGATAGCAATAAGACAATAAATAATTAAGAAAATTAAGTGGATGTGTGTGTGCAGTAACTCACGTACACATATATCTTTTAACAAATAATATCATGTTCAATCAGCTTTGTGAAATGGAGAACTAAATAAAATTTTAGCCATTGCAAAGATTGAACTCCATAAATTCTCACTCTTATTTGTCGAGGCACATGAATTTGACGAGGGGCGGTCCGGCGGTGGCAGAATAACGGCGGATGGCCGGGGACGACGTTGAAGAAGAATGATAAACAGATAATTGGGAGAAAGGAAGAAAAAAGATTAGGAAAATATTTACCTCTAGGATGGTTTGTTTGTGAAAAAGAGTCATAGGGTGTAAGGTATTTATACTAAATCATTGGGACCAATTTAAGAAGGTGAAATCAGTAGGATTTTTTAAAGATGCATAACTATGGTATAATATAAATTGAAATCAATCTTGATCCATAATTCCGCCTTCTTAAAATACATTAAAGGAATAATTAAATTAAAATTTAATAAATAAGTAAAATAAATAAAAACAAAATTTTGGGAAAAGATAATTAGTTAATTACGGGTCATTACATCTCCAAATAAGTCGAGTCGAGTCGAGCATGTACTTTGTCGAGCGTAAATAGAATTTTTCTGTTCGAGCTCAACGAGTCATGTCAAATTGTGTTGGACTCGACTCGTGAAAAAATAAGAATGCTTGAATTCGACTCGATACTCGACTTGGATCGAGTTATGCTAGAACTTTTGAAACCTAAATTTTAAACATAAAGGTACTTTATTTAATTTGAATAGCTAATTTTAGCCTGTGTTCCAATATTGATAATTAAACTATATGGAGTATTTATACAAATAAAAAGTCGAGCGGCTCGTTCAGCTTACGAGCCTCTCGAAATGATGTTGAAGCTCGACTCAAACTACCTGAGCTCAAGTTTGACCGAGCTTAAGTCGAGCTTTGACTTGATGCTCGAGGCTCGACTCAATTGAACTGCTTGAGTTCGAGTTTGACCAAGCTCAAGTCAAGCATACTCGAGCGCTCGCGAGTGACTCCTGAGCCGCTCGACTCGATTGCAACTCTATTCTCAAAAAATATAATGTGGTAATTAACTTCCATGAACTTAATATAAGAATTATATAAATGATATGAAATCAACAATGTGGTTGTAATATAATATATCCTGTTTAGATAAATAATATGATCCGTTGAACGTAATAACCATATGTATAAATGATATGAAATCAACAATGCGATTGTAAAATAATATATCATGTTTAGATAAATAATATGATCCATTGAATGTAACTATATGTATACATGCATGTAAATAGTTGAATTATATAAATGATATGAAATCAACAATGTGATTGTAAAATAATATATCATGTTTAGATAAACATATAAATGATATGAAATCAACAACGTGATTGTAAACTAATATATTCTGTTTAGATAAGTAGTATGATCCATTGAATTTCCTTTACTGTTGTCCTTTAATTTCCTTTAATGTTGTCCTTTGAAAATAAATAAATAAATAAATAAATAGTTAACAAAGCAAAGTCATGTATTGAAGATATGTATGAATTACACATGCAAAGGAGAGATTGAAATAACAAACCAGTGACAGATTTGCAAGGACCCAATTTCAACAACAAAATGTTTCATTTCTCTACCAGCCAAACCAATAATAACACATCATACTAAAACACCATTAATCTTGAATCTTGACTAACAAAACAAACGAAAATATTACAAGACCAACCTTAAATTAATCTTCTTCCTCTGCCTCGTTCTCAGCAATGTTGAAGTACCTCAATTCGTAGACATTTCGGTCCTTGTTTGAAGCTATCACCCGGAGCCAATCACGCACATTGTTCTTCTTAAGATATTTCTTTGTCAAGTACTTCAAGTACCTGTGCACGAAGAAAACAACAGACAGAAAATTAAATCCTGTCTGAAAATAGGTTTATAGTTTGGGGCAGATGTTAATGTAGGTCGAGGAACAGCTTAAATCTATTGGAAAAGTGAGATCGATTTCACAAGTGCAAGCCTACCTGCACTTACAAGATACTCACAAATTCTCTCTCTCTCTCTCTCTCTCTCTCTCTCTCTCTCTCTCTCTCTCTCTCTCTCTCTCTCTCTCTCTCTCTCTCTTACATTATTCGAGTGCGACAACACAGTGCATTGCAAGTGCAATATCACAATGCATTGAAAATTTAATGAAACTGACAGCAACAACATTAAATTAAGTATAGCAATTACCAGTAGGCTTATCAATCAATGTGGCGCAGCACAAAAACTATAAAATTGTGAGCTCAATTATCGATAACAGATAACCGTTATTCCAAGACATTAATATCAAAATGAATTGCTACAGCAATTCAAAACAATACTTTGATTACGCGATTATCAATACCTTGTTTTACTGTACGACTTTCCTTACTTACATTAACAAACAAAATGCAAATATTAGAAAATACTATAAAGAATTATTTTCGAAAGAACATAAAAAGGCGCCATAGACCATTGTTGACATATATTTCCATAAAATACAGTCAAAAGCCAGTTGACTCATGTTGCCTCAATACTTTTTATTCGGCACTCTTGATTAAAAGAGAATGAGAAACTTTACTACCCAACAACTCTACCCAAATCAGTAGAAGCAACATAGGAAACAATTTGTCCATCGCCCACATAAACAGAAAAAGGAAAGAGAAAAATGAAAAGACAAGCTTCATAATTAGTGATTTCAGTACAATCAAATGACCTCATTAGTTTTATCTATAGTGAGTAATCTCGAGTCTCAACTTTATCAACCGCCAAATACTTGTGAGGGAAATCCCTTCATTTTAATATCAAGAAGAGTACCAATAACTTGCATAAACAATTGTGGTAAAGGAGAATCAACTCAATCGTCCAAATAATTCAAATGTCCACATCTTTCAATCCATCAATTCTAAAATGACTTGAGCATTGACAAAGGTGAAAATCCAAAAAAAGGTTAGAAATCACCATCTCCGCTAGCAACACTCTGAGAAAAACACACACACACACACACACACACACACACACAAACACTAGCAAAGAACAATACTGCAAGCTTCTCAGAGCTATCTACCCATATATCTAATCCCAAATTCATTGACCCATTTCTTAGTTAGAATAAATGGATACCTCCAATTAAAATACGGAAATACAGCAAATACTTTTGAAGTTCGTCCGCAACTAAATAAATGGAACACATCACAAAGAACACAAACAAACAAGAACAAAAAGGCCGTGGATGAAGATAAGGTTACCGCTTGGAGAAGGCGGTGTCGTTGGCCGTCACAGTGATTTTAGTCTTGTCCCTGGCGACGGTGACAGTGTCCCCAAGCGCTCCAGGCTTGCCTCCAACCTTGATGCGCTCCTGAAGGAATTTTTCCAGTGAGGCGATGTCCATGATCTTATCCTCCACCGGCTTCCCGCAGTCAATCACGAACGTCGACGCCTTCTTCTTCCCGCCTTTCTGGGCCCCACCGCCGGCGGCCCCTCCTTTGCTCATGCCTGCGTTTCCGACGAGATTTCTGCTCCAGAGGTAAAAATTGCAACTGTAATTTGGGGACAATTAAATAATTGTTCGATAAAATAGACAGAGCGTGCAGATGGTACGGTCTCAACGGCGGCGAAAAGGAGCTGACCTGCGGCGGAGGCGAAGAGGAACGGGAAATGCTGAGTGTGCGTGAGAGACAGAGAGAGATAAAAGATAAGGGTTTAAAAGGGGTTACGACCTTATGGGCCTCGGGTTCGGCCCAACAATAATGGAGTGGTCGTGGGTTGGGCCCAACAATAATGAAAGGGTTGGGCCCCTAGATAAGGGTTTAAAAGGGGTTACTATTTTGTTTGTTAGGAATTGGTACATAACCTCGTAATTACTTTAACAAGCTTGTGTAGTATACTAGTATGAACGTAAACAAACTTGCATCTCCAATTTTAGCTAGGCACAATTGTAATTTTAGTCCTGTTGATTTGATGCAGTGGTGTTTTTAGTCCAAAAGAATTGAACATTTTGCTATTTGGTCCTACAATTTTAAAATTTAATGTCATATAAGTCCTTTAGGACTGAAATTGCAACAAAATTTAAAATTACAGGACTTAAATTGCGAATAAAAAATCTTTGGGATGAATTTTTTTATTAGCAACTTAAGTGTTGTAATTTTAAATTTTGTTGCAATTTCAGTATCAAATGACTGAAATTGCAGCAAAATACCTAATTATAGAATCAAAAGACAAAAAGTTGAATTTTTAGGACTAAAAATGTTATGGCGTTAAACCAGCATAACTAAAAATGCAATTTTGTCTTTTAGCTACAAAGGCCGGTTAAATTTGATGGGGTCCTCATCCCAAACCCTTAATATCTAGATGATAATCACAATGACGTGGTTCAAAAGAGAATGAAAAAAGTCTAGCACTCCTTCTGCATGTAGAAGTCATGTCAGACGTGATGACTCAGATTTTCCTCTCACTCCCTTCATTTGTTTTTTTTTTTAATAATATAAAATAAATAGATAATGTGAAGATAGAACTCAATCACAGGAGACTTTTGTATGAGATCCAACTTCTATTTGTTCCTCATGAAACACCTTCTACATACCTTCCAATTCATGATAACCGTTGAAGATGCTCTTAAATCCTATTTACTTACTTGAACTTTAGGTATGGCACTAGATTTTGCAGATGGGAAACTTTCTCCTTTGTATCATAAGAGAAAGGCATCATCATATCATTAAAGCATTAGCCACAAGGCAGACTTATCAACCTATTGTATAGGCAAAAGCCAATAGTTTTTCTATTGAAGTTTTCTAATAGTTAAGTAGTCATACTTTATCAACAAATACATAATACTTTTATAATCAAGTGTCATACTTAAAATACAAACAGAAGTATGTCATTTCTTAATATAAGTAAGCGTAAGATTGGATAACCTAACAACAGCATTTGTGAACATCATATAATGCTCTTATCTCCGCCCCTTTGGATGTTTTATGATATAATTTACCGATTATGAAACCGACAAACATGATAAACAAGCAAACAAAATAACGCGGCAAAGAAAACCACTGAAACCAAACTCAAAAGCCTCTTCACATTCAATTAAATACGCGATCTTTATTCCAGCAAAAAAAGGGGCAAAGGAAGTCGGAGGAAGCCAAAGTCCATTCACACAAAGCCGGTGGCCGACGACAAAAGAGTTGATAATAAATTTCCAAGCCACACAAAATAAGTTTTCAGCACATGCCGTGCCAAATGGTGCACGCAGAGCTCAAACCATTACACATTGTTTACTCAAACACATATATTATAATCCAGGTAGTTTCTTTCTTTTCTCGGTCACAGTAGTAATCACTGTCCTTTAGAAGTTCCGCATAACACACAAACACAAACACACCTTATTGTGACGGCCGATTTTGAGGTGGCATCCTTTCAGATCCATGCCTGTGACGAACGGGCCCCACACCAGGCGGGCGAAACGGGCCCCAAATTGAGTCTGGGTCGGCTTGGCCCGACTGGAACATAGGCTGATTGTGGTGGTGTTCGCGCTCCCAACGGTGGAAAGGGTCTCGATGAGTGTTCTCGGATTCTTGGAAAGTTCGGCTCCCGGAAGATGCACTCGAAGAGAGTAGGTAAAAGCCGCTGGGCTGATCAGCTGTTGAGGATGGATGGATGGGCCCCACCTGGGCCACACCCCTGTGGCTGCTGGATCTTCGGGCCGTGGATATGGGTTGGGCCCGTCCAACAGGGTTACCGGTGGTTTGTTGAAAGTATGCTTGAAGGGTCGAGGGGCGGTCACGGGGACGGGTGATGGCACCCGGGTAAGTCGGAAGCACTGATGAGGTGATGGAACTCGGCACTCGGCTGGCAGAACTGTAATATTATATATATGCAATGTCAAACATTTATAAGCAAGTTACACACTTTGGTGTTGGTCGAAGGAAATCTAGGTCACTCTTTTAAGGATTATTAGGAAAACCCAAATTCTTGTGTGAGGCGGCCTAACTGTTTGGCGGGTCGACCCATCAAACTTCTTTTTCTTTTTAACAATAATACATATTCATGCTATGAAATGACATACTTTTGTTTATATTGTTTTTTAAGTATGACGTTTAATTGTAAAACTACGCATATGTCAATAATTTATAAGCCAGTTACACACTTTGTGTTGGTCGAAGGAAATCTCGATCACTTAGATTATTAGGAAAACACAAATTCTTGTGTGAGGCGGACTAACCTTAGGGGGGTCGACCTGTCATACTTATTTTCTTAAACAACAATTCATATTCATACTACGAAATGACAACTTTTGTTTATATTGTTTTTTTAAGTATGACGTTTAAGTGTGAAAGTATACATTTGTCGAAAATACATGGTTATCCATCTGTTAGGGTTTCTAGCCTTAGGCTATGTTTGGTAAACCTAGGTGATAAGTTGACTTATAACTTTTAAGTGAATTTCGAGCTTATTACTGTAGCTTGTAGCTTAGCTGAAATAAAAATTTCAATGAGCTTATTATAAAAGCTAACCAAGGAAGTTTATGAGATAAGCTCGAGCTTTTTAAAAAAGCCCGTCCTACCAAAACAAGCTAAACTTATTGGAATAGAAGAAACTTATAAGCTAATTAAATAAGCTATAAGCTAGCTTATATTTAACCTCCCTAGAGTTAGAGGAATCCCAACAACATTTTTTTCGTAATTGTGAAAAAATTTCTGAGATTTGTGCATGGAAAACCGCCTTCAAGTAAAATCGTTGCCTTGAGAACTACCAACATTTTCATAGTAGAAAGCCACAAATCAAGAGTAATAATATACTGACCTGTGACCAATAATGAAGGGATGCATTCCAGCTCTCAAGATATCAGAGTTATTCCTGGCTGTCCTCCGAGTCACGGGTGGAATCAAGAGTTGTTGGTCAGACCCAGCAGTTCGAGTGCTTGTGGTGAAAGCTGAAGCTTGGTCCCAGTTTTGGTAATGTACATCCATTGACTGGAAAGAATAGGGAATGGGAATATCGGTAGGGCCCGATGGGCCGTTCCAGTTGTTGTTAAAAGTAGATCCATCTGAAACACTACCACTCGATGCTGAAGATGATGGGTGGATAGGCCCAAAATATGTGATGTAAGGGCAGGGTTGGGATGTGGATGAAACGGGCGTATGTTCCGGAAAGACAGCATGGGGCCCGAGAAGATCATGATCTGAAAAAAAAATTAATGATAATAATAAAAATGCTGCAAATTACAAAAGAGGCTTGATCTGTATTTTAGTGGTAAACCAGGGGGGTGAACGAGTCTTACATGCACTTGACGAAAACTCTCCTTCACTGTAAAAAGAAATGAATGGTTGTTAGCTGAACAGCTGCTAGATGAAATGAAATGAGAGGAGCAAAATATATAAGCGTGGAATAGAAAAATTCAACAAACAAAAACTAGAATGAAAATATTTAAAGGCAGAAATCTCGTACTGCTGAGGCTAGTTAAAAATGTACTACACCAAATACTGAGCAGCAGATAAAGTGGCTTTCTACACTAACCAAACCAAAAGGAAAAACGACATTAAAATTAATCCAGATTTGCTTTTTTGCAACATATTAGCAAGAGCTGGAATGAATGGAGGACAATGTTAGAATTTGATGAATATTATTATGTAGTACAAAAAATGTTACAATTTTCAGAAATTCTGCAGACTCTCCATCTGAAGTGATTTCTTGTGGCAGCTCTCTTCATAGCACCCAAACATTTCCACATAAAAATATTAAGTGCGAGTCATATTCGTCATGTTCGACTAATGTTCAATTATAGAACATAACAAGATTCTCTGAAGGATGCCTCATTCAGCATGTTGTGATGATCAACAAATGGGACATGCAGCATTCTAACATACTAAAGAATCGCTAACAAATAAGATTATGCCAGCCTAAAATAAATACCTAGGTAAAAGGACAAGTGTAAAATGAAAAGTTAGCCAATGATTCAATACCTTTAGAAACTTCTGACATTGTTTGTGGCCTAGAACTAAATAATGAGAATAAACAAACAGATACCTCTATATATTGAACTTCAGGAAAGACCCTAAAATTTGGACTTTTTAACATGGTAAAAGAGACACAGAGAAGATAAAAGATGATGCTTACTCAAACGAAGTAGGAACCCTTGTGAACGGGCACCAATGAAGTCCAAAAGACTGCAAGATCATTTAGAAAAAAATCATTAATTCCAACTAAAACACAGGTTCGCAGCTTAACTTCCCATTCAATCAACCAATGCAGTCGAATGTTTTAGCCGACGTGTACAGAGCTACAATTTAACATGAAGTTCATTTTATATGACACGTGATAGCTGGCAAAATGGTATGAGCCTAATACTGAGTTTCATTGGATAACTAAGATGACTCTGATTACATTATGGGCTTTGCAATAAAACAGTGGTTTCACCTATAAAATAATACATCAACTGCACTAGATACCAATTCTATGAGACCCATACACAACACAGTTGTATACATAAAAGGTCTCAGTAACTTGAGGTTGAGGGCAGATTAAGAAAGGCATAATTTATCAAAAACTTATATACATGATAGATTGGTCAGTCCGAAAATAAAGAATGAAACAGAAAGAAATGCAGTCACTTCACAATATAAATAGATCTTAAGATGATAATAAGTTAGATTTAGAGATTACCATCTCAGAATAACTTAAATCATATAGATCCTCATCACGGGCCCAATCCTCAAAGTTAAACTCAGGTAGTGGACGGCTACCATTTGCATATAGCCACTGTCCTTTCTCAATTTTCCGACAGTTGGGGCACTGCATTGCTCCCTTAATATTGAATGCTGAACCTATGCAATCTGCATACATCATACCAAAAAAGAATGTGATAAATAAAACCGTAGTATTCCTACGATTGAATTATCTAACAGAGATATTAAACGTCAGTGTAAAAAATAAAAAAGATGAAGGGTAACTAAGGGCCCGAGCAAGGAAAATGTTTTGTCTTACTAATTAAGAAGATTCATAAGAATCATTATCATTACAGAGCAATGAAGGTCAATGCATGCCATGTATGGAGGTTCTTTGAAGTGCTTGGAGTTGCGTAATTCCCTATTGCTTCAAATAAGATAGATTTTTTGCCAAAGACCAACCCAATTGAGCAACTGGAATTGGCATGTAGCAGCGCCACCGAAAGACGAAGAACAACTTTAACAATGATTAACTCTTTTACCAACCAACAAGATTGACGCACAAAAATAGAGTAATCAAATGAACCACATGCAATTTAAAACTGTTTTATTCAGCAGAAAAAATTTATCCCTGTAAACCAATGTTTGCAGGAGTATACCATCCTTCTCGAGCATATATTTCAATGCATCAACTGAACTCAAAAACCAATTTCCCATTTATGCAATAACCATCCTAACTAAACTTCTGAAATTACTACGCGTTCAACCTTTCTTAAATAAAGATATGGCAAACCACAAGGTATAAACCTCAGGGCTGCATGTCACTCGGTGAGTGTTCTTGGCCATGTACTCTAGGAAATCATTCCAATTAAAATCCCTCAAACCATCAGATATTTAATCTATTTATCAAAATAATTGGAGTAAGTATTCTTTCCATCCATCCTTAAGATATTTCACAGAAATGCCATAACACACAAGGCTACCATTGAGTTCTTAAAGATCCACCCACAGCACATGCCACGTGGCTTGAAAGTTGAAGTCAATTTACCAAACCTGTATTTCCACTTATAAGCACAAACATCATAAGAACCAGCATAGATTTGTACACGGTGATTAAAACTAGAGAAGTACTAATGTAATTATACCAAAAGAATATAAAATTCCATAATTAATGTTAAGGTTTTTAGTATTGTTTCGTCGGCCCCCAAGAATGGAAAAAATGCAAAACAATTGAGGAAAAGTTTACCTTAAAAAATTGGAGAAAGATTGAGCTGTTCAAAACAACTGAACGAAAACACTCATAAAACATAAATATTGATTTTTTGAAATAATACAAATGAAAACTAGTGGGAATTGATGACAAAGTCAAAACAAAACATGCAAAAGAAAAAAATAAATAAATAATAATAATAATAATAATTAAAGTTTTAAAAAGCAGGCTAAGACGTTTATGGCACTATAGCTATAGCGGAGCAATAGCGGAGATATAGCGGGATATAGCGGCTAAATTGCACACGAATACAAATAGCGGCACGCTGCCAAAAAAAGTTATTTCTCAAATAGCGGCAAATTTAGCGAGCTATTTATTTCCTTGATAATAATAATAAAAATAATAATATTACTATGACAGAAGTTTGTTTGCAAATCCCAATCTAATAATTTCCCAACTTAGAAAGCACAGATGAAATTGACGATGTTTGTAGCCAACCCTGCTTCATTTATGAATAGATGATTTTTTTACTTTTCACAGAAGACGAAACTGATTGGCACCACAGCCAAATCATTAGATTTAAATAATAACAGTGACTTCAAATGATTAGCCTGAGCATGATTGTTTAAAATTAAAAGGACTACAATTTCCAAATTCCCTATGTTACTCATGAAGATTTAGCATTCAAAGTATAATTTGGCAGCTTTTATGTTATCCTCTCTCATATAAACTAAATAGTAAATTCTTTATCCATCAAGGGAGAGGATGCATCTAGATGAAATCAGTACTACCATTATTCAATTCATTATTAACCTAGAAATGCATCCAGATGCTCTCAGTATTTTAGCAGTTTAAATCTTGGGAAATTAAAAGATAGCCAAGATGACTTAAAGCCAGAAGTAGATGATGCAGCAACATAATGGCATTGGCACCGGAAAATATACTCGAATATTTCAAATTTGCCCAGAAAACAATAAATAGGTAGAACACTACCGAAAAAAGTATGGGGGAGAACATCACATTATCTGGTTACCCTTTTTTAGAAGCCCATAGTTTTCTCATTTCGAACAATCTGTACAGAACATTAGGGTTGGTCCAAAAGATTTTGGTCGAATATTATCATTAAACCTACTTTCATATTTTATTCTCTATTCAGACACATTTCCCACGATCTCCGAATCTCCAAAGTAATAAAGATGATTTCAACAATTAAAGCATGTAATGCATTTCCTATGCAACTCTTGAAGCAGCCCTAGCTAAGGTTTGCCTACGTCTTTTCTGGACTAAATAAGGCAAAAAAAAATATACGAAATTACACTGTCCCCACCAAAGGTTCCACATATATCACATTTTAACACTTGTCGAGTTATCTAGGAACCTTAAATGGTGATCAAGTGGCAGTAAAACGAACCTACAATCCAGAAATGGTTTCCGATCAAGATCGAATTTCATAAAGTATGATTTTAATCCGACCTACTTATATCCTACTATCGGTGAGATTAATGACCTTGCCATGGAAATGACAATCATAGCACCTGCTATCTCTGATTCCTAAATTTACCGCAAATTTTTGAACCAACATCACAAAACTCAAGCTCAAATTTCAATAGTACATTGAAATAAAAATCCTAAACAGATCAAAAGGGCTGCATGCACCGAGCATTAAAAAAATGGTAATAAGCTTCCCCAGCTCATTCTTTGCCTAATTAGAAAACTTCACAAGTCAGTAAACTACAATCCGAGTAAACTCATGATAATTTTTTTTTTTCTGCTAATCCACTCAATTTCATCCCACGCTCAAGTCCCCGATCTCGAAACCCACGACCCGCACTCTCTAATCGGAGCTGGGAAAAATCAAAGTAACAACGTGATCTAACAAAATAACCATTCTCACAACACACCCATGAACCCCAGCCCAAAACACTTCCAAGTCCAAATTCATCAGTTCTACCACAATCATCGCCGATTAAATCAGTCAGATCACGATCTTCACCAAACGAATTGCAAAGTTCATCACTCACCGAGATGAAATTCGTGACCGCATTGAAGCTTCGCCCGAGATCTCTCGCAGCTGTCGGCCACCGCCTCCAAGCAAATGGAGCACGAAACCGCCGTCTCGGCCACTTTCCGACCACCGCCATCGCCGTCGTCGAGAAGATCCGCGTCTCCCAATCCCATAATTCAGGGCCAACAGCCAAATTTACAGGAACCCTAATTTAATTTACTCAAAGTATATGCTACGCCAATTCAATTAAATCAAATTAAATTATACAAACACTGAATGAATTGAATGATCGGATAGCTTTATGGCGATGGGAGTTGGGGGGAGGTTAGAGAGAGAAAGGAGCGCATGAGAGGGAATGTGTGAGAAAGTGTCAAGCTTGTTCTCTCATTTTCCTATCTTTTTCATTTTTCTTATAATAATAATAATATTTTTCATTTTTGTGTCTTAAAGAGCACGGCTTATTTGGCGAAAGTTGTTAACCGCTGTCCAAATGAGGATAAAAGGGATAGAAAGACACGCGCCGCGTGACATCACCTAAATTTGCTCTGTCAAAATACTCGCTTTAGAACCGAGCCAACTGCCAAGTCATCCCGAGTCCACATATTAGTCCCATGTATTTAGGTGGATAAGGTTTTTTACCGATGGTGTGCACATGTTAATATATCAACCGATTATGTGACATGCATACATTAGTGATGTTAATATATTCAAAAAAATATACCACCAATGTGTGCATGTCACATAATCAGTTGAGCATATTACCATGTGTCAATCGTGGGTAGGAGAGCATTATCCGTATTTAGCTATGGCACATTATTTTTTATTTTTTATTTTTTTGATCGTTTCTATGGCACATTATTTAGCTATGGCACATTATTTTATTCTCATGTTATATGTACATGCACATATATATGCCCTATATTGAAATTTTATCTGATAATACATAGTGGCCTCATTTGGAAGATAGCGGATTGAAGATAAATTAGCGGATTTGACTTAATTGAGAGGTTTGACCCGTCAAAATCCGCTATTGGGTTTGTTTGGTAAATAGCTTATTTGATAAGCTTTTTGGGACTAAAACTCTAATTTAGAAAAAGCTCATCAGAGCAACGTTTTGATGATAGAGGATTCACAAAAATCATTTCCTTGAAACTTTTCAATTTGTATCATTTATTTTACAATCTACATTGGTTTATGGAGCTAATAAATAATAATATGTCATCCATATGATTAATTTATCTAGAAAAAAATAAATTCATAATTTCTTCATCAATTGTTAGTAAATTTAAAAGAAAATATGTATGTAATTATAAATTATCAACTAAATAATATTAGTTTTTTTAATATATTATTACTAAAAGAATACACCCTAAATAATAAAATGTCCTTATTGGTCATTTTGCAATGTCAAACAGCTATAAGCTTTCAACTATTTACCAAACAATTATTAAAAAATCGCTAATACAATCCGCTGGTCAAATCAGCTAATATAATCCGTTATCCGCTATCCGCTGATACAATCAGCTATCCGATATCCGCTGATAGCCAAACAAAACCCATATTTTGGAGAATTTTGTATATGAATGTAACTATATTTTTATTTTTAAAATAAGTAAAAGTATTCCCGTTTAAATTTTAGATGTATTTCTTAATTATTTCTAAATGTAAGTAAGTTTTTATATATTCATTTTTGGATAATGATATGTCAAATTAATTAGTGTTGATAAATTTTTGGTTGAAATTTATATTATATTTAAAATGTCAAAACATGTATACTTAGATTTGTTAAACAAAACGAGTCTCTCGCAGCAAGGGACCTGCATATAAACTAGGGGGGCCACGATTTCCCTCCCCCCACCCCACTTTTGGTTTCTTATTTACCTAAGTATATATATGTAATATTATTAGTAAGTATACATAATTATTATTATCCTCATTAACCAATAAACTAAAGATATATGATTGAGATTATGTGAACTACGATATGTCAATACTCATTAAAGAAATATATGGAAGATAAGTCATAAAAAAGCTCATTTAACTTAGACATTTCAGTGTATTATATTATTTCCTTATTAATAAAACTACTTTAATTAACATAAATGAATAAACTCAATTCAAGAGTTCAGAGATAGAGATATAAACACACAAAACAGCAGCACTGAGACGTACAACACAGCGAGGCAAGCTTGCAATGTGAAAAATATATAGAACAATTTTGCAGCAACAAGAAGGATCGTCGCCCAATTCCTCGATTCGTCCGAATAATTTGATCATTCTTTTATATTTATGCCCATGTTCGTAATTTTATTTATTTATCCTTTTGTGGATGTAGGTTTTAAAACATGTGTGTATTTATTCATTATACTTATGTGTAGTGGCTGTCACTAAATGTTTGAAAACGTGTGTATTTATTCATTATACTTATGTGTAGTGACTGTCACTAAATAATCTATTGGCACAAAGCATGCATTTCGGCTATGACTATCCTTAAATCCAAACTTTGAAGTAAACGGAAGATGACTTTCTTGTAATTCTTTGACTATCTTCGTTAAAAGGAAAACTGCAAGATCTATTACTACAATCGTCGATGGGTTTTGTGACTTGACAGAACGTCGAACACAATTCTAATAATTACAAAGTTTGAACGATATGTATTTTCTTGAACTACTTTTTTTTTTCAAATCTATAAATGCAACTTTGTCTTTCTAATGAAGCATATCGTTGAAAATTCTTTAGTCCCCCCAATTAAATTTTCTGGATTCGCCCTAGCTCGCAGGCTCGGTTGTAAAACGGACCGAGCTTGAGCTCGTTTAAAATTCATTTAGTTAACAAGTCAAGCGAGTTCGTCTCGCCAATACCCAAAGATAAGAACATTATTACAACTTTTTTGTAGTTCCGTTCGTCAAGACTATAGTTAGACGCGGTCACGCGGTCATTTCACGGGATGAGGCTCGGTCTGGCTCGGCCCGTCGGATCGGTGAGCCTCGGATTGATGGCCATTAACTGGCCCGGGAATTTATATGGACCGGTCCATTGAATTGGCCCTGAACCGCCGGGTCATCGACCCGCCGGTTTTCGATCGGTTCAACCGTTAAAAAAATACAAGCTTGGCTCGTCTTTCAACTTGCGCCCGGCCCGGACCGTCAGGACAGAAGAAAAAAACTAAGAACCATAACCGGTCCGTCCGCATGGACAAGGTTCCTGTTCAACGAACCGACGATATCCGGGCCTATTGCGGGTCGGGACGTTCAGGCCCGGGCCGGGTAGGCCACGGATAGTTCAACTCGTTAATATTGATAATAAGTCAATCTCAAACTCATTACTTCCGGTTCAGCATGTTTGTTTATGAAATTTTATGGGTTTGTTTGGATTTTTTGTTTGGTTTGGGTAATTTTAAAAATGTGGTATGGTTAGTTGTTAGTGGATATATTAAAATAATATTTAAAATAAAATAATTAAAATTAAATTGAATTAAAAGTAGGAGAGATGAGATGTGATGTGATAGTTATGGTTGTAAACAAATCAAACATTTTTGATTCGATTCGTGATTCGAATTCGATATTCGTGATTCGAATTCGAATTCGAATTCGAATGATGTTTTAGATTCGAAATTATAACGAATTCGAATTCGAATGTGTAGATATTCGATTCGAAATTCGAATATTCGATTCGTTAACAATAATTATATAAATTTTACAAATTATACATAATATACATTTTGTTTATAATATATGTATATATATATTGTTAGATTCCTAATATTTTTATGACATAAAAAGTAAAAACATCATAAATTAACAAATTTTTCCTAAAATATATGAAAAATAAAATTTATTTTTGTAATTAAAATATTTTTATACAAATTATATATAATATACATTTTGTTTATAATATATGTATATATATATATTGTTATATTCCTAATATTTTTATGACATAAAAAGTAAAACATCATAAATTGACAAAATTTTCTAAAAATATATGAAAAATAAAATTTATTTTTGTAATTATAATATTTTTTTGAAAACGGATTTCGAATCGAATCGAATATGTTCGAATATTCTAAACGAATCGAATACGAATCAAAAAATGAATTCGTTATCGAATCGAATCACGAATCGAATCTTCGAATATTTTAAACGAATCGAATCGAATCTATGGGTATTCGCTTTGATTCGATTCGTTTACAACCCTAGTGATAGTTAGTTAAAATTATGTGAGTAGATGAATAGTGAATTAAAGTTGATGTGGTGTGTATGAATGATTGATTGATATTATTTAATTATATTGATAATACTGATGATAGTGGTGTTGAGTTAAAAAANNAAAAAAAGTGGTTGAGTTAAAATGTTGGAAATTTTTTGAAAAATCTTATAAACAACCATGCTCTTAAGAGTTCAATCTCGAATCGTTGATACTCATACTGTAAATGATTTTGAGGATCAACTATATACAATATTAAAATGATAATCCGACGAATAATATTCGAACTGTCATCATAATCTATTAGTATATAATAAGGATTGACTTAAATCATTTTTAGTAATATTTTCCGCCATCAGCATTAATTACTTACTATAAATGGAAATAATATAATACTATTTAAATAAAAAATAAATCATTAATTGCATAGTTTCCATATAACTCAGATTTCATGTTGTGTTTATTTTATTCAACTAGTACAACACCCGTGTATTACACGGGTGCTTGCTAATTTTTTTCTTAAAATTTAAAATTAATGAGAAAAAGTAGTTTGAAATTTTAAATACCTTTTTATAAGAATATATATATATATATATATATATATATTATTATATATTTATTATGATACTATTAATTGTGCGACTTACTTGTGTTATATTATACTAATTTTTTAACTTACACTATATAACTACATTAAATATAAATATATCAATTGAGAAATAATTTTATTTTTCTAATGAATTTTAATAAATATTATTATTTTTTATTATTATAAAGATAAATATAATTTATTTATTTTATATATATAATATGGATGTCAAATCGAAGATCATCAAAAGATGATTAATTTGATATATTATATATGTAAAACCGATAAGAAATACAAAAGTTATCTACTTTTAAGATATATTTATAATTCAATAGCTTATTCAAGGAAACAAATCAAAATTTAGGGATATATTAGTCACTTAGTGTCTCATTATGTAAAATTACAAATAATTAAAAGGTTATATTAGTAAAAGTGATATTAAAATACCTAAGTTAGCTAAATAATATTTATGGAATACCCGAACCTAGATTATTAATTATTAATATACTAATATTATTTGTCCAAACCTAATTACGAAGCATGATTCTTTGCCAAATAGGATTCCGAAACACCAGAAGCAGCCACGTAGGCTCAGCGCATTCTGAAATTATATATAGGGTGGATGGATTATATGTTTCCTTTAATTAGGTTGATGGTTATTTTGTAGGTAAAGATTATTTTGGAATCTTGATTTATTTAGCTAATTTCCTGTACATAATTATGTAGCTTATTTTGGAATCTTCATTTATGGAGGATTCTTTTTTATTTTAACCTAAAAATAATAATTATAATTTAGTAATATAATAAATATAATAAATATAATTTAGTAATATAATAAATGTTATAATAAATATAATTCATTTTAACATATATATTAGAATCATTAATTTGGATTAGCATATATGCTATATACACAAAATATATACAATTTTATAGTAATATTCAAATTTATATGGCGCCAATTTTAAAATTCTCATTTATGGAAGATTCTTTTTTATTTCATCATATTTATTAGAATCTATGATTTAGGTTGCCATATATATACACAATATATTTTTATAGTAACCTTTAAATTGGTTTATTCATTGTAGCAAATTCTAAAAATAAACGATTTGTTATGATCCCTTTTATATGAGATATATACAAATACTCATTTTATTTTATTTTTTTACTATTTTTTTAAAACAAAGTTGTTGAAATTTTGTATACAAAATCGATTTTCTATTGATTGTATTGATAAAAATATAAATCTGCTAGACAAAAACTATATCTATATATATAAATCTACTACATAAAAAAAAAAAAAATCATACATATATTATAATAGGGCAGTGGTCCAATAAAAAATTGTTCGATTTGAAAAAATTAACGTGCATTAATGTCTAATTACACATGTTATATAATATTTTAGGTGTTTTTAATATTTTAAATATACATGTTTAATGTTCTTTTATATAAAATATAAAACTATAAAAATAATAATAAGTATTATTTAGCTAATTAAGTTTAATCGATATTAAAATGATAAACTAACAACTCATTTGTCGAACTGTCAGGTAAATTATCATATTATAAGTAGATCATTCTAATCTTAGAGTTTCATTTAAGTTCCAACGACATTTGTTCTTACTTATAGTTTTGTATGTCATTACAATAAATAAAAGTCGGCGTCAGATTTTATCGTACTTTGACCTTTTTCTTAAATAAATTAGTTTTTAGTCACCCCTATTATATGTTGTTGTTTCGCATGAAAGTAATAGAAATGAGTTTACAATATTAGTTTTTGGGGACAACGAGTTGCCAAGTAATCAAACTAATAATAGTGTACAACAAGGTTCTTAATAATATATTATTCTTTTATGATGAATATTTTATAATTTCACAATTTACCTAACCTAATATCACTATTTTATTTATTAATACACTTCAAATTATAATATTCTCCAAAATAAATACAGTCCGTGCATTGCACGGGTTACGTACTAGTTATTATACTAGAAAGAATCAAGGTATTTGTATTACGTACTTGTATAAATTATGGTAAACCAACAAGTTGTTCGTTGAAATGTCATGTAAAGTATATAAATATATAAATAAAAATCAAAACACTTATAAATTGTTACCTTATAAAAAAACATTTATAATATATTCATTCATAAATTATAATAATGGATCAAAAATGATAAAAAAAAATAAATAAGAAAGAAAAAGTATGATATAGGATAATATTTATATTTATTTTCTAATTTGATCAGTAATTTGACTAATGGTCGATAATTGAATAAATTAGTATGAAGTAACGTTGAATTGAGATATGAAAATGCTTAAGAAAAACATATGATTTTGTTGTGTTAAAATAAAAATAAAAATAAAAAATAGATCTAGTTTATATTCTGTATTATTTTCATTATTTTTTGTACATTAATAATCATTCACTGGACAATTGATTTTTTTTTTAAGAAAAAAATCAAAACTGCAAGATTTAATAAATTTTTTAAATGAAAAATATTGTATAAAGAGAAGTGTTTAGTAATATATATTTTTCATCGTTTGTATTTATTTTATTTTCATAATAAGACGAGATATGAAAAAAATAAATAATTATATTTAATTTAAAATAAAATATAAAAAAATTTAAAAATATGAGCTTGTCTTCGCATCACACAATATATGCACTTTTAAGTAAAACGAAGTTACTCCAAAATCAACGAAAAGGAAAAGAATCCATAAGGCAAATTAGGCCATAAATCAGGCCGACATAAGCGGATTCGCCATTCGAGACTAACCAGTGGACCAAAGAGAGCAAAAGGGGAAAAAAGGAGAGAAAGGGAAAGAAAAATATACGCTGTTAAGAGAAAACACTGTAACACCACCCCGAGATCCGGTGGTTAGAGAGAGAAAATCGGGCTCCCGTTTGTTCCTCGGGTTTGGTAACGGCGGAGCTGAAGGCGGTGCTTGGGCCATTTCTCGTTTGAAGATCAGGCTATTCAGATCGAGGAACAAAAAGGAGGTAAGAACAACCCATTTGTAAAGAAATTATTTTTCCTTATCCTTCTTCCATTTATGGGGGACTTTTAAATCAGCCTGTTATTCAGTTCTGCTAACCATTTTATGCATTTGCCTTGTGGTGTTTGGTTCGATCTGCTTGCTATTTTGTGTGTCATATATATGCTGTTGGCTGGGTGCTGCTAAGCTGCTTTAATTCCTATTTTTTAGCCATTTTATCGTGAGGGTTATTGTTTTTTGGTGAGGTGAGGGGCTTTCTTTTGTTTCTCTTGATTTTCATTTTTTTGTTTGTCTTGAAAATAACAATTATTTGATATATGTTGCTGGTAATTGAGATTTGAGCGTGGAACTAGATAGGGCGAATCTATGACTGATAGAAGAAGAATTCATTTGTAGTTTCTGCTCTGATATTGCTTTTGTGTTTGGGTGTAAATTTGTATTGTGTTTTCATTACAGCCCTTTTTGCGGTTTTGCTGAAAATGCATGCTGTTACCTTAATCAATGGTTTTGTAAAGTAAATTTTAGGTTGCGTTCAGACGATGCTATGAATCAATTAATCAGTGACTATAGTTAATTTGTTCAACCTCAATTTTGGGATTTGATTTCACGCATCCTTAATTTGACTTTTTTCGTCTGCTTTAGGTTTCTTGTATGAGAAAAAAAGATTTGATACCCCCTATTTTAAGGTTTCTTGTTTATATTGAGGGCGTGTTTGCGAACATTAAGAAATGAACAAGTGATTCCAAGCATTTATCACTTCGGGATGTCTTAGATTAGAATGCGAGCTTCTACTTCATTTAGTTAGTTTAAACTTTTGGGGGTAAGGATAACTTACATTGTAGAAGTTGCTTTTTGCACTTTTATATGAAGTCTATTTTCAAGGTTGCATATATAGTCATTTATAATTGAAAAGCCAACCTAAAAAGTACATTTCCAAGCTATTAAAACTTTGATTGCTTCAGTGTTCAGATTCTATTTGCTGAGCCATAACATTCTGATTATCAGCTACTTTTGCCACTTCCTCTGTATATCACTTTTGGAAAACACAGTTGCTTGCGGTCACTCCCTTATTTTAGTTTAAAATTATTTTTGTTTTTATAGTCGAGATTGGGTCCATATCAATAAGAAATGTACAGTTATCAATTTAATTGACTTGCCTTACTATGGACATCTTTTAAAGGTCATTTTGTATTATGTTTTTAGATTACGCCATGAATTACGTTTACGCATTATGTTAGTACCTAGTATTGCTCATTTTTTTTAACATGAAGCTATGTTTGGTAAGTTATGGCTAAGCTTTTCTCCCTTTTAGTTAAGTTTTATTACAATATCCTGGATACCTACCTAAATAGAGAATACCGTGATAAATAGTTATGATTTGGTGATCTTTTTGTTATCTAAAGCTATGTTTGACAAGTCATGGCTAAGCATTTATCCCTTTACTTTAAACTTCGAATATGCTATGTGGATACCTACCTAAATGGATAATATCGTGATAAATTTTTGTTGATGTACTAGGGTAGGCACTATTTCATGTAAATATGTCTTTTCTTCTATAAATACAATAATTGTGGTACAGAGAACATCCTTTATTCGTCCAAAAAAAAAACCTTGGATTAACAAAACAGTACTGATATTTTGTCACGACACCTTTGGTTTTATACACTATCACACAGGAAAAACAATGGGAAGGGATGTTACAAGCTTACACATTGACAAAAAAACAAGTGAAAACCCTAATGATAGCACTCAATCTGCAGTTCGTGTTGCTCCAAAAGCCTCACCTGAAAAAACCGGGAATGCCCAGCTTCCTGATGAAGTCAATGAGGGACAGGATGTGCTGGCAGTGAAAAGCACCAATGGTGGGCTCGAGGAGAAGATCATTAAGGCCGAGGTACACAGTTCTGCTGATAAAAAGATGAACTCGCCAGCAAATCTCGAATCAGGGCCTGCTGAAAATGGGACAATTAAAGAGGACCATGCTAATGGGACCGAATACAATGGATCCGGTTTAAAAGTTTTGTCCAAATCTAGTGATTTGGATTCCCCCAAATCGGGGAAGAAATCCCATGTGAGTGATTCTCTTCAGATGTTGAGTTATCCCTCAGTATGTGTCGATCTCTTGTTCTGTGTCTTCATCTTTATATTTGTCATAAAAGTCGACCATCTCCTGCCTTTAATGATTCATGCTTGAGATCAAATTCATGGGATTTTGATATCCTGATTATTATGATGGAATGAGTACAAAAACACGTATCAGATTTTGGCTAGTTATGAATGCATGAAAACCCATTGTATTTTGATTTTATCCTCAACTTAGGTGGATTAGCGTAATTCTTTATACATGTTAGTAGTGTTTGACTCGATTTTAGCTTATGAAAGGGGGAAGTGGTTAGCTGTAATGAGACTTCAGCGGTGATCTTGTCATTTTTAAATCGCTTAGGTTTTCTTTTTTTCTATCACCCTTCTGTGCTATTGGACCAAATCTCTTGTGGTTTTTTTTTTTTTTTAATATATATATATATATATATATATATATATATAATGGTGGTGTGTGTGTGTGGAGTTGGAATCTTTAATTATCCGTTATGTTTGAACTACCTATAAATCTCTAGTAAAAGCGATGGTGGCTCACGTTTTCTGCAAAATGTTCAATTTTTATCTCAATAATGCTGGTAATCTTGCTTACTTACAGTGATGAAAATGACAGAATGTGGCTCATCAGTTTAAATGGTACTCAAATGTTACTTTTATTCGATAACGTATGAGCTCTCGGTGTTCCAATTTCCAAATGATTTTTTTTTTTTTTTTTTTTTTTTGGGGAATCAGAACAAACGTGTGCTTATTAGATGGATGGTACTTTTGCTGTCTAACTAATATGAATGTTATATGGCTGTGGTGTGAGGCTGGATACAATTTGAAAACATGGATATATAGAGAAGCTTTTTTACTTTTCTTGTAATTTGGATTGATACTGATGTTGGATGTTATTGTTTCCAGTCGACCACAAATTTAATGTCAAGGAAGCAGCTATATGACGAAGAAGACAATTGGTCATTGGCTTCCTCGTATCCTATGTCTGACTTCTTTTTTCATTTGTTGGTTATTATTATTATTATTAAAATAGTAGTAGTACTATTACTATTGTGTTACATTTCTGGATGATGTATTAGTAATTTAGTCATTAGCTATGTTCTTTCAATTGGAGCTGTCCTTAACATTTGTAGTACTGCGACTTCTGTACGGACCAAAATTACTGTTCCGGTTGCTCCAAGATTCAGTTGTGTGAACCGTTTGGAGAGACGCAAAGAGGTAATTATTCATACTGAGTTAGTGTTCATTTTGTATGCTTTTTTCCCTGTTTATTTATTCCTTCATGACCTCTTATTCCTGTTTTGATTTTGTTAGTTTTATACAAAGTTGGAAGAAAAGCACAAAGCCTTGGAGAAAGAAAAAGTCGAATATGAAGCAAGAATCAAGGTATACTAATCCCCCCCC